CATGCCCTAATTTGTATACTGTCACATTGTTTTAGACAAGTTCTTTCTAATCAAACAAGTGTCCCATAACTTTTGGCTATATAGTGTACAGAAATTTTTAGAATAACTTTTTACTGACTATTTTTAAATTTTGTATCAACTTTACTACCAATATATTCATAATGATGAAATTATGTAATTTTAAAATAATTTTGACTTTTAAAAATTTACACTAATCTGATTTTACATTTACTGGGATCAAAACTAAAATCAACTATAAATTTTTAAATTGCAGAAATTATAATTAAGATAATTTATTTAATAAACTCCAGACAACCAATTAATATTAATAAATCATGAGTGTTTACAGTTTTGTTTCTGAAATTAAAATAAAGTAATTTTAATTTTCAGTTTATTTATGTTGATTTATCTATGCATAATAATATTTATTTTAAATACAAAGGCAGTTCAACTTCTGTCCAGAATGCCTTGTGCCAACTTGGTAGTTCAAAACCAAAAAGAAATATAAAAAGGAATCTTCCTAGTGTTTACCTTCATTCCAATTCATATAAGTGTAAGTCCTGAGTTTGACAGTAAGCCCAAGTTGGCACAAAATATTAAAGACAAAATCAAGAACAAAAGGTTATTTCTACAGATCTGTCCAGAATTTCAGTAACAGCAATGGAATGCAGTGTATTACATACTCCCAATCTATATTTTTTCCTCTAGGTAAACCCCTCCATATGCTGACACTTCACCCATCATTTTGGCAATGATGGTATATCTGTAAGACAGAATTTTGGCTGGGGTCAGAGTAAGTCCCTGTCAAGTGGAAGCAATCAACAGACTTAGTTGAAAAATTATGGATACCTGCTTAGTCCAAATCTGTCACTGTGCAATTATACTCTGTTTGGCTCTTTACAGGAAACTTTGGGGGATATGAGCCATTTCATGAAGAACTGTATAAAGTCAGAGTTTGTCACACTGACTTTGACACCAGTTAAAATACTTCTCTTCTGCAACTGTACCATCATTGCCAAAATGATGAGAGAAGTGTTAGTGTGCAGAATAGGAATATCTACAGAACAAAAAAGAAATTGGGACTATGGAGCACTAAGTTCCATTGTCATTGCTGATATTTTGGACAGAAGTTGAACCATCCTTTTATTGTTATTTCTCTGGTAGCAAATGTAGTATAGTAAAGAAGTATTTTGTTAAATATCTATCAATAAAAAATATGTAGCAGCATGTTATTTCCTAAGTAAAATTAATATATTTCTTATCATAGTTTGTAAACACAATAAAAAACCATTCTTATACACTTTAAACAATATTTCAGATACATTACTATAATAGTAATTTCCAAAACAGCTCAATAAAAATGAAAAAATAAAATAAATTATAATAAATTTTTTGATAAAATTTCACAATTTTAAAAACTTAAATTTCTGAAAGTTGTAAAAACTAAATTTAAATAAGTAATGAATCATTTTATTAGTATCATAAAAAAATTTATATTAAAAAAAACAACTTTGGGAAAGTATTGCAATTGTAAATTTTTTATAGAAAAGCTTTTTAGTTTCCATAATATAATTTGAAACAAAAAATAAATCTAAAACTAAATTTGGATGGAAACTAATTCATAACAAACAAAAGTTTGGCTTGAAATAAGTAATCAAATTTTTAAAATTTTTAATTTAATAAATTTATTTATAGTAGTAATATCATAAAAATTATATAGTATAATATAAATATGAAATT